ACACGTGCTATTACTATCGTAACTACGTGATTTACTACTTTTACACAGAGGGATAAAGAAACTATATTGCGAAAATGCAAGGTACGAAAAATTTGACAAAATTTTTCGTAACAATGGTAGTTTGAATACTGTTGAGTGACATTCAAATTATGCCATTCAATTTTTAAATTTTCAGTGGACTATGCATAATCTTTAAATGTATAACTTTGTACATTAGCAAAAGTTAATCTTAAAGTTTTATGGGTATACAATTATTAGTTATTAGTTTACTTCATGTACTTTATTTTTTTAAAAAATAAACAAAAAATTTTCAAAAAAAGTATGAATTTTAGTTTCATTACTGGATCTTTTTCAAAAAAATAAGCTACTAAGTTTTTTTAATAGTTAAAAGATAAGCCAGAAGTCAAATTTTGTTTGACGAACTTCACGCCATATAGTTCCAGGGCTTCATCAAAAGCTAGATAGTGATTCTCCCTGGTAAAATTTACTGAAACAACATGTTTAAGCAATTCATATTGCTGTGGGTAGCATGATATCAATTCTAAAAAGAATATTACTGACATTGCATAATTGCTTTTCCCAGTAGCAGAAAATAGAGGTGCAAATGCTGCCAAACTTTTTAATTGCATGTCTATATTTTCTGAATAAATTCCTGCACGATAAGCTTTCTAGTACCCAGCTAAACGGTAATATAAGTACCAAACTTTTATGGTATTATTGCTTCTATTTATTATGACATTTTCTAATACCGTATTATTTATCTCTTCTTGTATCATATTATTCTTTTTTTAGATAAAGATGAATTGCTATACCTACAGCAGCATGTATTAATTCTAATACATTGCAGGTTGAACGATTATCTACATTTTGCTCTAGCTTATCAAGAAATTTAACACCAAGTTTTGCTGCCATACTATATAAACTATATCTGCTAAATGCAGCAATTAAAGCACTACACATAGCTTTCGATGTGTGCCACTGCCTAAGAATAAATCAGCAAGTTAAATTTTCATTTTTATATAATTTAGTTCTTCCAAAAATAGCAGCATCACATGCTAAATCAATATCTTGACCAAGATCTTTTAAAAACATGTCATTTGATTCGAATACGGCTTTATTACTGTTAGGTGCTGGCTTGGGTTCTAGTATAACAAGATTTGGTGGGTTTACTCGACATCTGACTCGATATTAGCAAATATTTCTGCATCAATCTCTTTAATTCTGAAGTTCCTTTCATTTTTATTTAATAGTTGTCTTATTATTTGGTCAAATTTTATTTCTCATTTAGTTGTAAATTCTGATTTACTGAACAAATTTTTTTGAGATTCCAGATCTTAACGTTCTTGAGCAAGACTTGACAATTCAAACGGAAGTTCAAACTGAAATATCAGTCTTAGAGTGGTATATCACCTTGTGACATCATAAATATTGCTATATTGAAAAACAATATCCTTGAAATCAATATTATTAATTACTGCAACATTCCAAATATTTGGTCCTTTTATTAATTTTGTTAATAGATTATATTTACTAACATGCTCTTTTTCTAATACTGTTTCATATTTCCATGTATAGAACGTTATATATACCAAATAAAGTATTGCTTGCAAGGAAGAAAACAATTTTGGTCACTTGCATAAGGAAGTCATAGTAAAAGTGAGCTATATTTTTCATGAATAAAAGGTGATTGTTAAAATAATTGATGCAAAAAATGCTGTTATTTTTTTTATTGGTTCTTTATGAAATTTTGATTCTTTTTGCCCACACTGTTTTTGTTTTCTTTCTCTAACTGTTTCTTTATATTTTTCAATAGACTCAACTAATCTATCAAAAAAGTTGGTAAGGCTAAAGGAAAGCTATTATAATATTTATCTAACGAATTTATATTTTCTAAACTTTTACGATGTTGCTCAATATTTTTATGTGAGTTACATATAAAATTTCCTAATGCTTCTCTGTGCTGTCTGTATTTATCTGCTTTTACATATTTTTTATCTGTAGATAAATAATAATCAAATGCATTAATCTTCATAGCGGTTTTTATGAGTAGCGGACTAGGTAAACAATTTGTTGTATTTGTAAAGAATAACTCATTTGCGTTTTGATTTTCTAATAATGTATCATATGCAACACTACTTCTTTTTTTTGATTTTCATTTTCAGAATATGAAAGATTTAACAACCACCGTGAGAATAATTTTAAAGCTTGGTTAGTATCATCTTTATGCAAGTCGTTTTTAACACATGTTTGAGACTTTTTTCCTTCACATTTATGAATATGTCTGCCATTGCTTTCAAAACACTTTGCACAAATATATCAGACACGATAGCTATTAGCAATTCTTGAAGAGATGTTTGTAATTTTTTAAAAGCGGAACACGATTTTAAACTGATATATGGTACTTGAATATTTCTTCTTCATATACTCCAATTATATTTTCCACAATCATCACCTCTACTAAAGAAGTTTTTATATTTATTACAGAGTAAAAATTTTTTATTTTAATTACACTCTGACTAAGGCCTCTAATTTGTTTGGCATAAGATGAGTGAAGTTTATTTTGATCAAAATTAAAATAGCTAAAACAGACGTCTAAAGTAGCTATATTAGAATTTTCTTCCTGTGTTAATTCTATTTCCCAAGTTCCAACTAATTGAGATACTGATCTTAGATTATTAATTGAATTACAGCGCCTAATTTCCCCTTTTAAATTATCGATAATAACACAAGGTGATCGTTGATTTTCTTCTATATTTAAAAATTGGCGATCCATATGCTCATCTTCAGATAATGAATTTTCACTATCATCATCATATTCTATTATTTCTGAAGAATCTTGTTCTTCTAACCAATGTTTTGCCTTCATAGCAGCCAAATAATCATGAACGAATAATGGTTCATCTTGGTCAGTACTGAAACTTTCATCAAAATCTTCATCTATAGAATAATCATAGTAATTCTCCATTTTCAATAACAAAGCAAGGTTTTGCTAAAAATTTAAAGAGAAGTATTTTTTGCAAATATTTGTAATTTGTTGGTAACGGCAGATAGAGGATATCCATGCTATTTATATATAATCAAATTGACTAATTTTATAATTTACTTTAGTTGCGAAATGATTAAATTTTGCATATTGCAATTTATATGTGCAATCACTTGATTGTCATTGATTGTGCAATTTTAAAGTGATCATTTTATTGTGGCTTGCAAAATGTGAAATTTAAAAAAAAAGTAATCCTAATTTCTGGTTACTGATCTCTGATTTCTTCATTTTTTTTGACTTTTAGACTGGACAAAATTTGCACATTTATCATTTGCAAAAATTTGATTGGATATTTTAATGCACAACATCTAGTATTGCAAATATATGGGGTCTTTACCTTGAAAATCACCTTCTGACATTTTCGATTAGATTAATTCAGACAAAAATAAACCTGAGTACTAGTTCATATTTATATGTTAATCATCTTTTAACTTTATTGATTCAATTCAATAGTTTATCGAATAACTATTGAACCAATATAAAAGATGATTAACATATGAACATGACCCAATAGGAAGTATCAAAAGGAGATTTTCAAGGCAAAGACACCATATTACAAAATGATTAATAAGCATAAAACCAGAGATAATCATTAATTGATTAGACCAGTTATAATCAACCAATTAGATACGCAAAATTTTGTCTAATCTAAAAGTCAAAAAAAATGTTGAAGAAATCAAAAACTAGTAATTATTTTTTTTATGATCTTTAAATTTCACATAATTTTACAAACCGCAATAATCAAAAATTTAATACAAGTAAAATAATCAATCAGGCAACAATTAGATGATTATACATGCAAGCTGCGATATGCAAAATTTGATCAAAGATACATCATTTCATAAACTATGATAAATAAGACTTTTTGAATAAGGAGCAAATAAAATTTTATAATGGTTTTAAAATACAAACTTTATGAATATTACTCTGTTTAGTTTTTGTATGCTTTCGAACAGAGACCTTTTTATTATATATTCACAGCTATCAGAAGTATAACATATCGTAATGAATTAAAAAAAATTACAATAGAATTTATAACTATATTATAATATTTGATTCAAAAAATGTATTTTATTTTTTTTATTTATTACAAAAAAGAAAATAAATAAAATCAAATTATCACTATAATTAATTATTTTTATTCATATATAATTTGAAATAAAATTGTATATAGTTAATTTATAAATGAGAATATAATGATACACCCATTGAATAATATATCATTTTCGCCTTTTTTGACAAATTCTCATTGAATGGTGTTAAATATGCCCAGTGCAAGTTTGCCTTCCTCAACCCTTGGGCTATTCTCACAAATAATAACATCAAACTCACCCAGTAATTATTGTTTTTTTCAGTTACATGAAGCCCAAACTTTAAAAAAAAATAATAATACCATACAGCACGGACTATAGTACCCACATCAAAGTACCTCTATAAAAATTTTTCACAGTCGAATGCAAGTTACCCGGGTACTTTACAAAGTAAACTTCCTGGGTATTAACTAAGTAGCATATGACATTGCTAAGTAAATACACTTCTTATATAATACCCGGGTACTAACTTGGATTGTAGCCATGGAATGTATTATATCCGGGGTACTATAGTCTGCGCTGTACGATATTTAACTAAAAAAACAGTACAATGCAAAAAAAAAACTGATATTAGACCAGTTCTAAGTCACAGCATGTCTCATTTCTGGTGCTAATCTCATATAAAACCTAAGCTACAAAAAAAAATTAGTTTTGACTAAAAAAGAAAGAAAAATAACACAATGCAGTAGGAAAAAATTGATAATTAGACAATTCCAAGCCAATCGTGTTCAATTTCATTGCCCGGTGTTAGTCTCACATTGAAATCTATCTTAAAAAAAAAAATTAGTTTCGACCAAAATAAAAGAAAAAAAAATATTAAACAAGAGAAAATGAAACTAGTACTTGTAATTAGACCAGTTCCAGCTATATCTGATATCCCAATCCATTGCCCGATGCTAATCTCACGTCAAAACCTAATCTACAAACAAAAGAGTTGGCTTAACCAGTTCAAAGTTCCTAGCCACTTGTACAGTACTAACTTCACAGTAAAGCTAAATCTACAAAAAAATTTATGTTCAGTAGAAATAAAACAAAAAAATATATATATATATAGATGCTTTTCATGTTAGTAAAGAGCTACCTGCTACAAGAAAAAGAATTAGTTTCAACTAAGTGAAAAAATAAACATATAAAAAACAGAACTATTTTAGATCAGTTCCTATTTCTAATGTCTAATGCAATTTCGAAACTCAAGCCTACAAAAAAAAGTGTTTGTTAGTTTCAGACGAGAAAAAGAAAAAAAAACATAATATAAGAAAGAAAAATAAAAATATTAGACTAGCTTTTGGCAATGTTTGATCTCCATTATCTGTAAGATCGATCTCCATTACCTGCAAGATCTTAAAGATCTTAAAAGATTTTACCTATAGTAATGAGCAAATCTTGATGAAAGTGGTTTGGAAAAGCATAATCATAACAGAGCAGTGTTTTAATTCCAAAACTTCTGCATAAGAACTGGCTAGTTACTGCATTTTAAAGATTCTTTATATTTTTGTTAGTGTTCTAAAAGATTATCAATCTTTGAGTTCAAGATCCTTTTTCGTTTACATATAAGTTTTGTTTCAAATTTTCGCTATTGATAGAAAAAAACTCGTGAAATAATGTTACTTATAATGACATTTTTGTATCTCTTGAGAGTCATGTAGTTCACTTAAAAGCAAATAAAATTTTTTGAAAAATTTCATAGTAAATTTCTGAAATGTGATCTACATTTTTACTATGATTAGACACTCACATATGTGACCATGTGACATCTTTCCTGACTGATATGGCCTGTATTTAAAGACAGCTTTGTAAAATTTATAACATACCTTCATAAGTAAGACAGGTGTTAAAACCATAGAAGGGAACCATCTATTCAACCCAACAAATCAAAAAGAATATATAACAAGAGAGCACCTATATAAGATACTAAGAAGGATAAACATAACAAATTCAGAAAGTCTTTTGTTTTGATTAGTTGTATTTGGTGGCATTTTATGGCTTAGCAAGATTAGGTGAACTGTTATTTAATTCACAGCACGACCTGGCAAAAATCCTAACAATGCAAGCCTTAAGATTTGACAAATCAGGAAACAACACCTTTGCAATAATCTAATTACCCAAAACAAAAGACTACAAATCTACAGAATGTCCAATTCTTATAATCATACAACAAATAATGATCTATATCCTATTCAAGCACTAAAATTATATACGTCCGTAGAACAGGCCTAGTATATGCTCAGGTTGTAATACATTATTTGTCAAGGCCAATGACAGTATAACTACTAAGCACTAGTTCATAGACAATTTAAGATTCCTGCTACTTGGGACAAATATAGCAGAACATAGCTTCTGTGCAGGAAGTACAACTGAATTAATACTGCTAAATATACAACTACTACTTATCCAAAAGATCAGCAGGTAGACATCAGATATATTTTATAGATATATACAGACCCATCTGGCAACAGTAGCAGCTATTTTGACAAAAGCATATTCTGACTAAGTGATTTATTATTCAAGTTTGGAATTGATTACCAGTCAGAATCCATGAGAATAAAAAAAAAAAAATAAAAAATAAAAAATGAATGGAAAAGTGGTAGAAAGTAAGTAGCACTACAAATAAGTAAAGAGTTGGGTCAGCAAAGATGATAATAGTAATAAAAGAAGGAGCAAATAGTTAAATGAAAATGGCAGAACTATAATTCTTTAGAACCTGCTATTTTCATAATCACATTCTCATAATCATATTTCATAATTATAACTGCAAAATATCATTATCACATGTTCATATTAATGGCCAGTCTGCATCATACAGGTGTGAAACTACTAGCCAGCACCAAACTACACAAACTTAACTGCTTACAGTGATCTCCAATGCAAGATTAATTGCTATTTCCGGATGCATCTCCTGTCTTAGTTTAATTACACATAATTCACAACTAATGTAAAATATATTCATCAAATAAAATTTATCTCCTACCAACGATTATTCCAATTCTGAACATATATGCAATGTTTTTCGTTCAAATTGACACAAGTCGATAGATCAAAAAGATGCTAAACAGGAAAAGGTAATACTGTGATACCTACGAATAAACAAGACCAAACTAGCACAATTAAGTTCAGGAGTAGTATTTTACATAATCAGATTCAGGTGAGTATGATTTAATAACCTTCCAGATATAGTAATTATCAATTTAATAAAGATCGCAGAAAAACAAAGACAAAGACACAGCTCCAACAATCGCCTCCTTGGCTATAGATCACAACTCGCGACCTGTCTCACCCTCCTAATAGAACCTGCCATTTTTATAATCACATTCTCATAATCACATTTTATAATTATGACTGCAGAATATCATTATTATATATTCATATTAATAGCCGCTCTGCACATGCAGACAAGAAACCACCAGCTAGTACCAAGCCGCACAAACTTAACTGCTTTTGGTGATTTTGGTGCAAGATTAATTGCTATTTCTGGGTATATCTCTCGTCTAAGTTTAATTACACATAATTCACAACTAATATAAAATGCATTCATCAAATAAAATTCATCTTTAGTGTATCAGACTAGATTATTCCAATTTTGAATATGCATACAATATTTTTTGATTTATATGATTTGTAGTTCAGAAAATCAGTTAATTTGAATTTTAAATTAATTAATTAATTGATCTTTATGCAGACTTAATTATATTTAGTAATGGAATTACGGATATTAAAATTTAACTATCATGCTCTATAATCTATTTAAATTATAAAATATAACAATTTAATATATTTGCTACACATCATTTTAAGATTTGCTGATAATGAATTGACAATTATTATTTTTTAACC